CTGCATACCGCGAAAAAAAAAAAAAAAAAAAGTGAATGGCTTATTTTCTAATTCTCTATATCAGACCATATTAAATCAGATTTATTTATTTTTTTAAATACCAACATGTTTCAGTCACTCTATGAACCACTTTTACATTTTATTGTATTTAATCCAAGGAACAATTCTATTTTTTTATTTAATATTTTTTTTTGTAGTAAGAATGCTTAACATGACATTTACTCTTAAAATTTTAAGATATAGCATCCTTCACCCTAAGGACAGTGTTGTACAGCAGATCACTAGAACTTATTCATCTCGTGTAATTGACACTTTATGACTACTGAGTAGCAACTCCCAATTACCCCTGGAACCCCAGACCCTGACAACTACCATTCAACTCTCAGATTCTATGAGTTTGACTATTTTAGATACCTCATATAAGTGGAATTGTGCAGTATTTGTCTTTCTATAAATGGCTGATTTTACTCAGCATAGTGTCCTTAAGGTTTATTCATGTTGCCCTGTATTGGAGAATCTCCTTCTTTTTGAAGACTGAATAAAATTCCATTGTATATACCACATTTTCTTTATCAATTCATCCATCAATGGACATTTAATTTATTTCAATATCTTCACTTTTGTAAATAATGCAGCAATAAATATAGGAGTTCAGATACCTCTTTGAGATCCTGATTTTAGGTCTTTTTGGATAAATGTCCCCAAATGGGAGTGCTGGATCATATGGTAGTTCTATTTTTAATTTTTGGAAGAATTTTAGTACTGTTTTTCTCAGTGGCTGCACCATTTTTCATTCCCACAAACAGTGTTCAGGCACCCAGTTTCTCCACATCTTCACCAACACTTGTTTTCCCTGTTTTTTGGATAATAGACATCCCAACAGGTGTGAGGTGACATCTCACTGTGGTTTTGATTTGCATTTCCCTGATGACTAGTAATGTTGAACATCTTTTCATCTATCTGTTGGCCATTTGTACGTGTACTTTAGCGAAATGTCTATTCAAATCTTTGCCCATTTTCTAAGTGGGTTATAGTGTTTTCTCTATTGGGTTGTAGGTTACCTTTTCACTTTGTTGATTGTTTCTTATTCTGTGCAAAAACTTTTTAGTTTGATGTAGTCTCACTGGTCTATTTTTGGTTTTTTGCCTGTGCTTTTGGTGTCATTTCCATAAAATCTTTGCCAAGACCATTGTCATGAAGCTTTTCCTTTATGTTTTTTCCTAGAAGTTTTGCAGTTTTGGGTGTTACATTTAGGTCTTTAGTCCATTGTGGTTTGATTTTTGTCTACGGTGTAAGATAAGGATCAGATTTCATTCTTCCGCATGTGAATATCCAGTTTTCCCAGCACCATTCATTAAATAGACTATACTTTCCTCATTGTATATTCTTGGCACCCTTGTCAAAGGTCAGTTGACTATACATGTGTGGATTGATTTCTGGGCTCTTTATTCTGTGCCATTGGCCTATGTGTTTATTTTTATGCCAAGACCATACTTTTAATTACTGTAGCTTTGGAATATATTTTGAAATCAGGAAATGTGATGCCTTCAGCTTTGTTCTACTTACTCAAGATTATTTTGCCTATTCAAGGACTTTCATGATTCCAAATACATTGTAGGATTGTTTTTTTGTTGTTTTTTTATTTTTTTGTGGTACGTGGGCTTCTCACTGTTGTGGCCTCTCCTGTTGCGGAGCACAGGCTCCGGATGCGCAGGCTCAGCGCCCATGGCTCACAGGCCCAGCCGCTCCGCGGCATGTGGGATCCTCCCGGACCGGGGCACGAACACATGTGCCCTTCATCGGCAGGCAGATTCTCAACCACTGCGCCACCAGGGAAGCCCTGTAGGATTGTTTTTTATATTTCTGTAAAAGATGCCATTGGGATTTTGACAGGGGTTGCATTGAATCTACAGATTGCTTTCAATACTATGGACATTTTAACAATATTAATTATTTCAGATCATGAGCATGGATTATCTTTCTATTTTTTTGTTTCTTCTTCAATATCTTTCAGTAATGTTTTGTAGTTTTCAGTGTACAAATCTTTCATCTCCTTTGTCAAGTTTATTCCTAAGTATTTTATTGTTGTTTGTTGCTACTGTAAATGAGATTATTTTCCTTTCAAACAGTTTATTTCAGTCTATAGAGATGTAACTGATTTTTGCATGTTGATTTTGTATCCTGCAACTTTCCTGAATGTATTTATTAGTTCTAATAGTTTTGTGTGTGTGTGTGTGTGTGTGTGTGTGTGTGTGTGTGTATTCATTAGAAATTTCTACATATAAGATTACATCGTCTACAAACAAGGACACTTTCACTTCTTCCTTTCTGATTAGGATGCTTTTTTCCCCCCCTTATTCATTTCTAGTTATTTGGACTAGGATTGCCAGGACTATGTTAAATAGAAGTGGCAAGAGTGAGCATCCTTGCCTTGTTTCTGATATGAACTAAAACTCTGAAGGTTTTTTTCTAAATGAGTATATTAGCTGTGGGCATTTATTATAGAGCCTTTATCATGTTGAGGTAATTTCTATTCCTAGTTTGTTGAGAGTTTTTATCATGAAAGAGTGT